TAAATTTAGACTAGGTTTGATTATCATTACTAAATTTAGCCTAATACTCGACCATCATATCTAAATTTGGCAGTAAGGAAAATAGTTTTTAACCAAAATCATGTGTAACCCTTTTTTAAAAAAATTTATTGCATTTTTGAACGAATCACGAAATTGCAATTTTTGAAATTTGAGTACGTGGCGCAGCAACAGGAGGTCTTTAGACCGAGCCAACCATAGTAAGGAAAATTGTATTTTCCTGATTTCACTGGATGTGCATATTAATATGGAAACTGTTAAATTTTTCCTTTGTATTTTTTTCCTTATTATTATGTTTTATAAAGTGATCTGCAAAACCTAAATTCCTTACATTTTCCTTACATTCATTGAAAACATACGATTCAATAATTTTCTAGTTTTTCTTAATTTCTTTTGATAAATTTTTATCAGTATAATAATTTATTATTAATATTATTTTCTTAATATTATTTTCTTACCTCATTAGAAGAAAGAATATCCAATTCGTTAATTATTAATTCTTTATTTTTATCAATTCCAACAATATCAATATCGATTCCACCGCCACTGCCACTACTTCTACCGCTACTATTTCTACTAACAGCACTATTATTACCACCACGGTCAATTATCTCATATTTTCCATTATTCATTAACGAATCAAAACTACCAGTGATAATATTTCCATCACATAAATCCTTGAGCGAAAATCTTTTATAGCCAAATTCTTTAAAGATGGCATCATGTATATCATTTTTCTTATCACTGCTAACAAATTTAAATTTTTCTAGTTTATTATTACTATCACTATTATTATTTACAGCCCTAATAGAAACTGTTTTTGTCCATATCGATTGGACTGGTGGAAGTTGTGATGATGACGATGATGCTACTGCATTCTGAGTGGTGTTAGTAGCGGCGGTTGATGTCAAATGAATATTTGATGTTGTATGTGAACTCATAGTTTTTAATAATCACGCGAAAATAAAATGCATAAATTTTGGTTTTTTTTTTTCGAGAACGATAAAAAAAAATTAATCAACGATTCAAATATAGATTAAACATTTAAGCAAACTGAAAGAAAAAAAATAAAAGAAAAAGCAAGAAAACACTCATTTATATACATTTTCTCGAACTTTTACACACAATAACTTTTAATTTAAAAATGGAGTTTAAAATTCCGAACATTAATATTAATAATTAAATTAAACCCGATAGTTTGTGATTTTTGGTGCATGGTTCAAAGCGAAAAAATGAAAAGTCACGATGACCTTTGGTGACACACATTAAGAATTATTATATTTACTTTTTCCAATCATTTGTTGGAAAATTTCTATTACTATTATGTACCGTAGTAATAAATTTTCATGTGAATGAAATGTTAAAATAAAAAAATAACGATTTTCTAATATCGGCAATAAATAAAAGAAATAATTAGTAAAAAGTAATGGAAAATAATTTTGATTGAGATTTACCAAAGGATTTACTTTCATGTATTTTGACTTTTTTTTCCAAGTTGTGAATGTTTTCTGGATCGGTGTCATTTTATCTAGGTTGACGGTTGATAATTTATTTCTAGAATTGGAAAACAATAATTTTAATTTTTACTAAAACAATCTCATTATTATTATTATATATTATTAATATTGGATTTATTAATTTTTCCTCTCTCGCATATCCTTTTAAAAAAAACCCCAAATATTTTCCTAACCCTGCACACAAACAAATTAATCATTTGTCCAAAGAGATTGTCATCGATGTTGTAAATGAATTTTAGTGAGACCCGAGATTTATCATCTTTACTTTTAAAAAAAAATAAATTCTACAGAAGGAACTAAAATTCCGATTTATTTAATTATAAATGGATGCAAAGAAAAACACATGATGAATAAGCAGTTAATTAATGCTAACAATACAAGTCGAACAAAACTCTTTTTGTATATTAACAGTTAATAGATACAGTTCACTCTCCCTATAACGAATATGTATGTTTTGTATCTCTGTGAAATTAATTTTTTAAAAATAATTTTTATTATATGAAAAATATTTTGATTACTTGATAAAAACAAAAGAAATTAACGGCGCAAAAAAAAATATAAAAAAGACTCATTCCGTTTTTTCCCCCTTATCCTAAATTATTTTTTTAACATTTAAAATAAAAAAAAAAGATTTTACTGTTTTACATTTAAATATGATACACAATATTAAGTAAATCCTTTATTAAAATACAACTTTCGGGAAGCATGAGATTAAAAAAAGAATGTTATTTTTCACAAATCCACTTGTAGACGTCACAAATTTTTACGCATCTTTATAAATAAAAAATTATTTTGCTGTTCCAGAAAAGCATTGTATCGAAGTATTCAATGAATGTAAGGAAAATGTAAGGAATTTAGGTTTTGCAGATCACTTTATAAAACATAATAATAAGGAAAAAAATACAAAGGAAAAATTTAACAGTTTCCATATTAATATGCACATCCAGTGAAATCAGGAAAATACAATTTTCCTTACTATGGTTGGCTCGGTCTAAAGACCTCCTGTTGCTGCGCCACGTACTCAAATTTCAAAAATTGCAATTTCGTGATTCGTTCAAAAATGCAATAAATTTTTTTAAAAAAGGGTTACACATGATTTTGGTTAAAAACTATTTTCCTTACTGCCAAATTTAGATATGATGGTCGAGTATTAGGCTAAATTTAGTAATGATAATCAAACCTAGTCTAAATTTTGCAATGATCCTAGTGCTCAAATTTCTCATGAGCATAGTAAAGTACATGTTTTAAAAAAGAATAGAACTCTACAATAAATAATTTTTTGGAGAAAATCTCTTCATTACATTAAAAGTAGAAACCTATTTTACCAACTAATGAGGCTATTTTTTTAAAAGGTAGGACAGAAAATGACTTCTATACTTTTAAAATTTGCCCAAAATTTAGGAGGTCTTTAGACCAAGCCAACTATACTACTTTTACTACTTCGTCAAATACGTGCATTCTTTGAGTTATTATTTTTTTCAACATATCATCTTGTTTTTCTAGCATACGAACAATATAAGAAATTATTTTTTATGAAAAATTATTTCTGCATCCCACCTTCAAAATCACAGTTATATTGACGAGAGATTTCAACTTCAGGATTTTCTGGAGAACTGATCCAGTGAATGAAAAACCAAGACCATCCAGTTGTTACAATTCCAAATAGAAGTGGTTGTGATGATTCAAAATCCGTTTGTTCCAGGGTTGGCAAATTGACTGGTCCATTGAGAACAGATAGATTTTGGACTGGTCCATTGCCATTAATAAAATACTAAATATGGTTAAAGTGTTACATTAATGGACCACAAATAGACCATCAATGGACCACACATTTGCCAACCCTGGTTTTTTCTAACTTATGCTTGCCTAATAAACTCTGAAAATATTCATTGATGGTTAGGTCTACCCTAAATACAAAAACGATGAAATTACCTCTGATGCACTATGCAATTGCATAATGTTTTGAGCTATTCCCTTAGTGAAATCTTCCAATTCTGCCTCATTAATCAGCATTACAAAATCATCATGTTTCACTAAATAGTCCACAGGGCCTGTACCCTTTAGATCCATAAAGATTAGCTTCTATGCATAACTCTGCTGAATTGTTTGTAAACTCTTGAATGTGATTAACTCAGGGTTGGCAAATTGACTGGTTCATTGAGAACTGATGGATTTTTGAACTGGTCCATTGCCATTAATAAAATACTAAATATGGTTAAAGCGTTACCTGATGGACCACCAATAGACCATCAATGGACCACATATTTGCCAACTCTGGATTAACTGCCATCTTAATGAAAATAGATATATATTTCCCAACAGTTGCTTCATTAACATTGATCTTATTTTTAAACGTATTTTTGATAACTTCAACAAAGTGTTTCAACTCTTCCTCAGTAATTGAATTGTAATTTGGGAGTTCATCCAAATTAAATGCTTCATCAAATAATCCATTATAACTTTGATGCCAAATATTTTTGAATACATCTTTGATTCCCATTCATTATAAGGTTTTTTATCTATAATTAATTCTGGAATCAGGATCTTTATGTCATTTTTCATACCATGTCAAGATAAAAAACATACCTTTAATTTGGACTTTAAGGTTGGGAAGAACACGTACTTCATTTGTGTTATTCAGTATGTTTTATAAGGTTATTAAACTGAAACTTGTTTTTACCTTTTCAAAGGCTTCAAAATAGAGGTCACATGCTTTTGCATTTTCAAATTTTGATAATTTATTAAAGTTTCTGCTAGAATGTGACATTTTGTATTTCTCTTTGCTGTTTCCTGATTTATATGTCACTATGACTGTGGAGAAGGCAAATGAGTACTAGACATTATAGAAAAAATGAATGTATGAAAACATTTTATACTTACTACTTGCTGTGGAAAATGGATATTGAACAATAAGCAGACATAAAGTGGTTGTTTTTATACATGAAGTCAAAACTATTTTGACCATTTGCAGATCTGGTCAAAATAGAGTTGAAATATGATTTTTACTATGTAGTTGCCTCAAGTCAAAACATTTCGACTTTGGGGTTTTAATTATAACTTCATGTATAGTCATTTCAAGGTCTGCTAACAATGTTCCACCATGGCAAGGTTGCATTCAATCCTTATCAAAGAAAAATTCAATATCCTCCTCTCAAGAACCTTAAATTTTTCATTAAGAATTGGTTAAGTTCATTTAAGTCAGGAGGTTGCACTGCAAAGTTGCTTGGCTTAACATTAATTTTCATGGAACTTGGTTTGCCCTCTAGAAGAAATCACATTGATATTAAAGGATTTAAGGTGATGTTATCAGCTCTAGTCATACTTATAAATGCTAATTATTGAACCAAACAATGGCTTTAAAAAAAATTTAAAATTAAGAACTGAAACCTGCATAATGGTGTATATTTATAATACGTAATAATTTGTGGGACCTCTTAAACCACCATTTACTGCGCCTCAGCCACATTTTGAAAGTGTCAAATTTTCAATTCATCCACAGTGTGTTGCGAAAAAAATGGCACCTGCATTCTAACTAAAGAAGTAATAAAAATCATGTAATAAAAATTATATCAAAGGATCAGACAATCTTGAATTATCACATATAGAAATTTTGAAATGCATTATTATCTAGGCTTTAGAGCAATTATTATATTAAATTTCTTTTTCCAAAAATAATTGAATTTACTTTATTTTAATTGATAAAATTCTAGAAAACTCCAAACCAGATGGTGTATAAAGGAACTTCTTGCAGGAAAAAATACTCAAGTTCCTCATCATAGATTAGACATGACACAGTGACTGACTTATATTCTGCACTGTGCCAACAAAACATGGATCTCGTCAAACTAAATTTTGAGTCAGAGTCCATAAAATTTTTAGGGGAATGTTTACTTTGCCCCAAATTATATAACGCGTTTTTTTTTTTAATTAATTAAAATTAATTAATATTAATATAATTATAATGTCAGTAAGAAAACCTTCAATACTACATTACCTATACTCAAATATTAGAATTCAAATAGTAACAACAAGATCAACTATAAAAAAAAATATTAGTACAATTAACAACAATAATAAAATGCATTTATTTAAATTTTATAATGTTCATGATTATAATGGTGATAATAATAAGGTAAAAAAACAATCAAAACTTTCATTTTTTTCTAATAATTTGATTGAATTAGTAAAATTTTTTTTGGAATTTTTTAAAGAGATTATTTCATTCTCCAGGTAATTTATTTTAAATTATTATTATATATCTAATGTATATGCGCTAACAATTATACAATATATAAAAATATATAAATCTCAGTTACCGTTTACAAAGATTATTATGGAATTCTCGGATTACAAAAAAATGTTAATAAATCAGATATTAAAAAAGCATATTATATGGTATGTTAAATATACAAGTACACAATTAT